TAAAACTTATTCACCAGCTGCAAATTTCTATCCAACTGCAGAGTACATTTTGTGTAATGAAGGGGCAAAAAAATAAAAACATGGCAAAACACATTTTATTTTTCTAACAAGCAAATCTGCCGATCATCTCACTCTGCCTTGAGCTTCACGGCAAAGTGCTAAGAAAGGCCCTTCAGACAGAAGTCTGCTCACCCTGACAACATGAAGCGTCTTGTCTGGCTTACATGTGTGAGTCACCCTGTTTTAAAGCTCTTAAGTGCATTTGTATTCCATAAAAAAAACCCGTAATAAATCTTAGTATTACTGTATAATACTGTGTGTCTAAAAAAACAAAGATACACTGTGACTGCAGGTATTTTAAACTGCTATTGAGAGGCCCGTGTGCATAACGTCATCTCTCTTTGAGGCAGCTCAGTTATACCAGTAAAGGCTGGAGAACTGCTGGCCGGGCAGCCGCCATCCCCTCCCATCGCACCCAGGAAGCCAAGGTGGTGTACAATTTTGGCAAGAGCATGCCCGCTGAATACTTCCCAGCAGGCGGCAGGTCTTCTCAGCTACTGTATTTTGACAACATTTCCCACAACTTGTGAAAGACATCAACTGTCATATTGCTAGGAAGACAGGAGCTGGCATAAGTTTGATGCGTCGTCTTTACTTTTTTCTACTAGGATAGGTACTACACACAGAAACGCGTGCTGAATGGGGACGGGCATTACTTTTAGAATGCACTTCAAAAAGCATCTTTATTGTGTTAAGTTAGCCATAACATGTTCTCCACCCCCTACATAGCATTTCCTCCAGCTGACACATGTTTTTTCTTTGTCTTAACACACCTGTGGTGGGTTGACCCTGGTGCCAACCAAAGCCACTCTATCACTCCCCCTCCTCAGCTGGGCAGGCGAGAGTAAATATAGCAAAAGGCTCGTGGGTCGAGGTAAGGACAGGGAGAGATCACTCAGCAATTACTGTCACAGGCAAAACAAACTCAACTTGGGGAAATTAATTTATTACCTTACTCTGATTTGATTGGTCATGAGAACTAAAACCAAATCTTAACACACCTTCCACCCATACCTCCCTTCTTCCCAGGCTCAACTTCACTCCCAATTTTCTCTACCTTCTCCCACCACCAGTGGTGCAGAGGGATGGGGAATGGGGGTTGTGGTCAGTTCATCACACGTCGACTCTGCTGCTCCGTCCTCCTCGTGGGGAGGACTCCTCACACCCTTCCCCTGCTCCAGCCTGGGGTCCCTCCCACGGGAGACAGTCCTCCATGAACTTCTCCCACGTGAGTCCTTCCCACAGGCTGCAGTTCTTCATGA